TTTCAGGTGACAAAGCGACGTCGTACGGAGGAGCGTGGACTTGGTCAACAGGATTATACGAGGAGAATTATTTCCTCCCCGTACATCAATCAAGCCCAAAACAATGTATTTATCTCATCAACCATAGCCTCCGTTTGGGAAGTGGGTTGGCTTTTTGGCTTTTTGGCTTTTTTGGCTATTTTAGCCTGGGCTAAAAAGTTTGGTTTGGGAAAGGCTTTTTGACTTTTTGGCTTTTTTGATTTTTTTTGTGAGAGAAGAGTGAAATGATTATGGGTTGGATGTGATGTTTTGTTTGTTGTGGCTAAAATAGCCTGTTTTGTCTTTTGTGGCTATTTTAGCCCTAACCCAACTTGCCAAACACCACCTAAAACATCTATGTTAAGTAAAATTACATTACATTAAAGTAATAATGGAAAAATTTCTGAAATTTAAAGTAATAAAGTAAAATTATGTTACATTACATTACTAGGGTTCATTTGGGATGTGGGTTAACTTTTTTGTTTTTTAGCTTGAGGTTAAAAAGTCTCGTTTAGGATAGGTTTTTTAGGGCTATTTTGGGAACTCGGCTAAAAGTCACTTTTTTTTTGTTAGTAGCAAAAGCCAAAAGTTGACTTTTTTGGCTTTTTTTTCATTTGGCAAGTTGGTTTTTAGCCAACGGTGAAATTACAATTTTACCCCTCATGGGTCACAATGTGTTACATAGGTTCAGTTGTAAATATTTTAAATAAATGGGGGTAGTTTAGTCATTTTATTATGATTTGACATCATAAACAAATATTAATCAAAAAAGTCAAAAGTCACTTTTTACCAACTTCCCAAATCATTTGTCTAAAAAAGCCAAAAGCTTGGTTAAAAGCCAAAAAGTCACTTTTTACTATCTTCCCAAAACAACCCTTAGTTTTTTTTACTTTTGTGAGAGTAAAAATGAAATTATTATGATTTAGATGTGACACTTTATCTTATTGGGTTAAAAAACCTATTCTGTGACTATTTAGCCAAAAAAAACTCGTTTAGCTTATGCCAAACGGGGGCATAATTGTTTTTCACTACATTAAAACTCATGTATAGACTTATTCCTTAATTTTTATACAATCATGCATGGGTTTTAATTTTTTGTTCTTAAATTTAACCCTTTCATAATTTTTTTTATAAAAAAATCTAAAAATCTTGTCATAACAAAATAAATTAAATTTCAAATATTATCATTCTATTACTTGAATATAATGTCATTTTATTTAGCAAGCTTGGTATTGAGTAACCTAATTATGATTAATTTACTAGTACAATTCATATTTTACTGTAACATTTGATAATTAAAAATCTTTTTTTTTAGGTAAAATTTTTAGTTTAGAATTTATTATGAGTGGTGTGGGTTCATGGCTAGCAATCGTAATACTCTTTAGAATCTTGATATCTTAATTTTGATTTTATAATATATTATTTCAAATTTCTTTGCAATTTTCATATATAAATCAATTTGCTAAATGTATTTAGCCTAAGAGTTTATCCAGGTAGGAAAAGCTAGACTAATTATAAAGATATTATTTTAATCAATAATTCTAGTCATTATTTTAAATTTTTATGAATGAGTTTAATATGACTGATTTATGTTAATTTTGAATCTTCTTAAAATTTAAGAATGAATTATAATTTAATGTTAATAAACTTCTGCACATGTTTCACTTCATGCTATGATTTTTACTTCAATCGAAAGATAATTTTTTAAGAACATCTTCAATTTGTAACTTGAGCTTATAAATTAAATATAAAAAGGTTTAACTGATGGCAAAATTTATCATAAATTTGTGCTATAAATAATATTTTTTATACCAAAAAACAATGATCAAATGACACATGTTTTTTTTTATATTTTTACAGACTCAAAAAATTAAAAATATTGTCTATGTTTATGCATAATATTTTTCATAATAAGAGTTTATTTGTAAAAAAAAAAATTAAATCTAGGTACTTTTTTATATAAAGAATTTTAAAAAATCATAATGTAATATGCATGTGTATACAAATATTACCATACTGACAATAAATTGCAAAAAATAAATGTGTTTTTAAATCAATAACAATTGGTTCTTATTTTTAGGATTCATTGTTCAGAAAATTGATTTTTTATATTTTTTGTGTTTTTTTGTTTTCAGTGAATTTTTTAAATATTTTAAACAAATTTTTTAATTTTTAGATACACCTAACATAAATACACTTAAAAATATAATACTTGTGAAAAAAAACTTTTAAAAAATCACTAAATGCCAAAAAAAGAAAAAAAAAATTGGGAATTCATTACATTTTTCGCATTTTTGTGTATTTTTTAATTTTTTATAAATATTTTTACTTGTTATATACATTTAAGTAATGTGCATCTAAAAAAGTATTTAAAAAAAATTGCTTTAAATTTTAAAAATATTCACTAAAAACAAAAAACTCAATTTTCAAAAAATTAAATCCAAAAAATTGAAATCAAGCACACTGATTTACTTTCTAAATTGAAGTGATTTGATGATTATTGCCGTATGAACTAAATAATTAATTATTAATTACATTTAGAATGTGATAATCAACGATTGAATGACATGGGTATTTGTGTATTTTATAAATTCAAAAAACTATAAAATTTATTTTTTAGAGTTTCAAGCTCAAAGGCCTCACCGTTTTTGCTTATATTATATGATAATTACGCTAACACCCTCTCAATTATTAGTGAATATCACTTTATCATTATTATTTATGAATCTGTACAAATTGACCTGTCAATTATAAAAATCGTACAAATACATCAATTTTGAAGGTGATCTAAAGGGAGTGAGTTCAAATGGAAGATTATGTATTTTTTTAGATATTAAAGATTGTTTTGGAAAGTAAGTTAGTTAATTTTTTGATTTTTTTAGCTTTAAAAATATATATATATATATATATATATATAATAGAATGTGATCCAAAATAATTTAAAAACTAAAGAAGCCTAAGTCAATTCCAAAATTATGTCCGCTCAAATAACAGTTCCGATTGGTAGCTCGAAAACAATAAGGCTTGAATGGCCCGAGTCCAAAATGACGTTGTTTTTTAATTTTTTTTTTTTTTTTTCCTTTCTCTTTTCTCTCTGAAGATGAAGAAGAATAAGAGACAAGAAAAAGAGAAGAAGGAGTTGGGGAACACAGAAATAGAGAGATACACGTCATCATCATCATCAATAACATCTTCATCAACATCATCATCATCAACATCCATCGATTTTATGAAATCCATATCCATCGATTTTAATCGAATCGATCGATTTCAAACCCTAAAAAAAGAAGAAGAAACTCGGGGAGTCTTTGGTGGCTCAAATCCAAGGGCTATCGAGCAGTGGCAATGGGTGGAGCTCTCTCTTTTCTCTCTCTTTCTCTTTCTCTTCACTCTCCCTTTGTCCTTCTGCTTGTCCCTTTGTTTGTCCTTTAGAGATCTAATAGGGGGAACAAAATTTGCCCAAAACGACGTCGTTTTAGACAATCGAGCCATTCAGGCCGAAAGATTTTTGAACTACGAAGTATTATTGCTCAAATAAATGTCCATAAAGGTTACACCTAAATGGTCCTACTTTTTGAATAAAATTCGGGTCCCAGGTGACCTACATACCTAGCATTCTCTTAGGTTACGATTGATTGGAAGATTAAAAGAGGGGATTAGATTAATAATTTATAGAATCCACTTATTGCAGTTTGTTTATGGAGAAGTGGCACGGGTAATTTCATGGGACTATCAATTCCCTTCCATGATGGGATTAGCATTCTCATGGAAGGGATGTGATTAACATTCCACTCCCATGGATTGAGAGCAAAAAGACCATTTTGCCCTTTATTCTGTAGAATCAACAAAAATATTTTTTATGTAAAAAGAACTTTTACGTAATTTGTATATTTAATTATAACTAACTAATATCACTACACTAGTGCACAAAAAAACAAGTTTTATCTTATATCTCCAACTAAATACCATCACACTAATAATCTTCTCTCTTAATCTTACCGTACTTTAATTTCATCAAACTTAATTCACCAAACAAACTAGACATTAGAATCAAGTCTAGCTCAAGCGTAATATTTCTTCTCTCTTTATTATTATTATTATTATTATTATTATTATTATTATTATTCATTTAATTTTCTCTCTTATTTTCTCTCATCTTTTCACCTATCAAATATGAACAAATTTTTCATAGTAAATTTTTGGTTTGGCTTTAATGTATATTTGTTATCACCAATGTGCTTGGAGCATCTCCAACGGTGAACCAAATTTTTCATCAAATTTGAGTAAAAAAAAGCCAACTTTATCAATTTGATATGCCTTGCTCCAACGATGAACATCAAAAGGGGGAGGGTCGACCGGTCGGTCGACCGATAAGGCCATTATTTTTTATTTTTGGTTTCCCTCCCTTTCTGTTCCCAATTTTTTTCCTATTTGTTTTTCCCTCCATTACGTATATTTCGTTTTGGTTTACCTCCAACAATGATTTGCTTCTAAAATCTCATATAAACACATTATCCATATGCCAGACAACTCCAGACAACTGATACGATTATAGCTGAAACAAAGCAGAGCATAATGAATACCTTCAAATCCATCATATTGACTTCATTTTCATCATCTTCTTCTTCCTCCTCCTCCTCTGATGAGTCTGATGATGAATATATGGTCACACTTTTAGGGGCTTATAGAAGAATAATGCTAGTATGCTTCAGATTCTTAAGTCAAGTGTTAGCTCAAAGAAAATAGGTGGTTCTGTTGTAGGCCATAAATATATACGCAGAGATAGAAGGCAGGGTCATGAGAGATTGTTTGTAGATTATTTTGCTGTAAATCCAGTGTATTCACCTACAATATTTCGGAGACGTTTTCAAATGCGTCATCCTTTGTATTTGCGAATTTTGAATGCAATCCAAGCACACAATTCATATTTTGTTCAAAAACAAGATGCAGCTCATGTAGTTGGATTATCTCCCCTACAAAAAATGACTTCAGCGATGAGAATATTGTCATATGGTGTCGCAGCAGATGCAGTTGATGATTACATACGTATCGGAGAAAGCACTGCAATTCAAAGTTTGTAACAATTTTGTAATTCAGTGATTGAAATCTTTGGACCAAAATATCTGAGATCTCCGACACCAACTGATATTGCTAGATTACTTGCTACTAGGGAGGTTCGGGAGTTTTCGAGTATGCTGGGAAGTTTAGATTGCATGCATTGTGTCACGACTCGACCCCAGGGTTTAGGGTTGGAATCGCGACTTACTAACTTATTTTATTAGTAGCAAATTAAACTGCGCAAGCGGAAATAAAAATAATTCAACATAAATTTTACTATTTAAGATAGAGGAAATACATTTCTAGGGCTTTCATTATTTTATTATTCAGTGACCAGCCCCGAATAGAAACAAAATGGAGCAAAAATATAAATAAATAAAAAAAGGTAAAATAGTGGTTCAACAGAAATCCATGTGCGGGTTCCATTTTGTGGGGTTATGGGTTTCCCTTACATCTCGTTAGTTACCTGAAAGGGTAACAGCTATAAGCACATAGCAGAGTGAGAAATATTATACCAAGAGAATAGGGAATACAAAATGACCATGGATAATTAGTTAGGCTAAAATATTTACATAATTTAGTTTGAAATAACAATTTATTTAAAGTGGCAGAATACAGAAATCATGTAAATAAATAATCATAACCACGGTATAAAACAGAACATAATAGAGGTCACAGAAGTGACAGTCAGAACAGAGGTCAATGGATCCATGACAAACCGAGGACCACAAAGTGGCCAAACAGAAACCCAGGGTTATTTAAGTCCCCCAAGGCGTGAGACTCCAGTGGTGGTACTTACAAAACATAATTGTTTATAAGGTTATAGTCAAATATATACTAAAATTTAAACAAATACATCCATGGGTTTCCTTTTTAAATAAATAGAGTTTGGAAAATAACCCATGTAACTGAAATATTTATAAAACATAGTTTTTATTAATATAACTTAATAAAATATAACTTGTATAAAATAAGCTATGATAATTCCAAACATTCGTAAAACATATAATGGTAAATCAAGGTATAATATAACTCACCTTACTATTAACCCTTAACCTTACTCCACTATCACAACCTTATAAGCTCCTTACTTTCAATATTCACGTACGTCTCTCTCTTTATATTTCTTTCGTTTTTCCTTCCCTCATTCACCACACTCTTGCTCCTTATATACTGCTAGTTGAGCCTTGATTTGAGTGACGCGTAGCCTCTCTCTATGGAGGCCATTATTATGCTACTAGATTGAGTCTTAATTGTAGATTCAAATCACAGATTTGAGTCTTTATAGGATAAGTATAAATCTTCTCAATATATACTTGGGCCTTTTGCTTCGGCCGATAATTACAAAACATTTGCTGGGCTAACAATTACAAAAAAAAATTTCTTTTTATTTATTTATTTATTTGTTTTGGTGCTAAATTTTTCAATATTCCTAATGTAAATTAAATTACATCTTATCATTTATCATCGTAAAATTAATTATTTTATTTTACTTTACAGATTATTATTATTATTCTTGTTATCAATATTATTATATATTTACTATTTTTAACTTTAATTTGACCCACCCAATATTATAATTCCATAAAGGTGTTAATTTGGCTCCAAATAATAATTCTTAATTAATCTCATATTTGATAACTCAATGCCAAATTAGAATTTATATATTTATTTATTTAATAATCTATCATCACATGTAGCCATAATTATATATAACTATAAATATTTATATTGTACTTAATTAAACGTTCAGGTGTCACACATTGGGAATGGAAAAATTGTCCAAAGGCATGGCAAGGTCAATACGTAGGCCATCAAAAAAGCCAACCATTATTCTTGAAGCAGTAGCATCTTATGACTTGTGGATTTGGCATGCATTTTTTAGAATGCCTGACTCACACAATGACTTGAATGTGTTGGACCGATCGCCTTTGTTTTCTGATCTTGCGCAAGGTAAAGCTCTCCCTGTCCATTACACTATTAATGGACATAATTACGATATGGGTTATTACCTTGCTGATGGTATATACCCTCAATGGGCAACACTGGTTCAAACAATTTATTCTCCCCAAGGAGCAAAGAGACAGCATTTTGCAATGACGCAAGAGTCTGCTAGGAAAGATGTAAAGCGGGCATTCGGAGTGCTTCAATCTCGATTCGCAATTATAGGCGGTGTTGTACGCTTTTGGGATCCGAAAATGCTTGCCAACATAATGAAAAGCTGCATTATATTACATAATATGATTGTCGAAGATGAGAGGGAGGAGCACCTTGATTTCGACTATGAACTTTCATCAACCAACGCACCAGTGCAACTTTCCTTTACTCCTACCAATGACTCCAATCATTTTTGTCTCGTCATTTAGTTATTAGAGATAATGATGCATATCATGCACTCCGTAATGATTTAATAGAACATATGTGGCATCTTCATGGTGAAAACTAAATTCACATCAATACACGTAATTTTGTTTATAGGTTTGGAATGGAAGGTTGTCTTGTTTGTAATCTTCATTATGATGCATTATATTAACCAATTAGTTCAGAAGTTATGTGATGATGTACTGTTGTGATGATCCAATCTTTAATATTCAGAATTGTTCTGTGTTCAATTCATGAGAATTACAAATGATAATAATCATGTCTTAGTCAGTTACAAATGATAATACCACATAAATTTAATAATCATGTCTTAAATTCTGTGTTCAATTCAGTATTGATGTGCCACAAATGAAAATACCACATACATTTAATAATCGTGTCTTAAATGATAATTTAATAATCATGTCTTAAATTTATTCAATTCAGTATTATGTGTTCAATTCAGTAATGATAATACCACAAATGATATTACCACATATTTATATGAACATGTCTTAATCAGTTACAAATGATAATACCACATAAATTTATTCACAATTCATATTTATTTATGTGCCACATGATTTTATTCAGTATACGAATTTATTGATGTGGCATACAAATTTATTCAGTACATATATGTACTGGTGTCCAATTTATTTGTCTATATATTTATTGATGTTGTTGGCTTATTACTCATATGTTGCCATTCATTTATTGATGTTGATGTTGCCATTCATTTATTGCCTCAGTTGAAATGCATTCAACCTACAGAGTGGCATACTACTTAGATGGTGTTTGGGAAGGAGAAGCCGGGCTAAAATAGCCACGTTGCGACAAAATTGGCTGTTTCAACCACGTCCCGACAAAATGCCATTCACGAGTATCCAAAAACCCTTACTCATGTAAATTGACCCAAATGCCTCGAAGACAACCCTCTTGATTCATCAATCTGTATTCAACGCCTCATTGCGCAGCACACACCCTTTGGAGAAAGACGAAGAGAAGAACCACCGAGCTATCGGAGGACAGTTGACCAGGGCCCTCCGCAGAGATAATCGCCACCGGAGTACCCATCCGCAGCGGCGAACACGAACCAAGCCTCTCAAACTCAAACCGATCTGATTCAGGTAATGCTTTATGGCCTATCTGATCGATCTTTTTCTTCTTTCGATCTGCATAGTATGGGTTGATAACGGCATCAGTTCATGACCGATCTGTTGCTTTCCGGTCGTGATTGGGTTGATTACGCTTACATTACACACATTTGGGGCACCGATCTGTCTCTGTGACAAATATGGGTTATGGATCTGTTCTTATTTTCAAAATCTGTTCGGTTATCACAAATTTGGGGCTGATTTGTATATATAAACACACACACACACATATGTATATATATACATATATATGTATATAAAATATACATGTTCTTATTCAAATATCTGTTCTTATTTATGAAAATCAAATCTGTTGATCACAAACTTAACCAACCGTTGTTAACACTGAAGGAAAACCACATCTTATATTTGTTCTGATTTACAAATCTGTTCTTATCAGATCTTGTTTACAAAATGCTCAATTAGCAGGTCTTGTATAACTCTGTTCTGTTCGGTTATCACAAATTTGGGCCAGATTTGTTTTATTTTTTTTTGTTTATGCTCTGAATTGTTGCTAATAGAAATGCTCAATTCCCATTTGTATGGTTACATATGAATTACATAAAAAAATATAATTCCAACTCAATTTGGGAAGGAAGGTAGATATATTATCTATATATATTAACAACAAATTACAAAATATATAAAACTTATAGTACAAATATATTACAAAAATTGGGTTTATTAAGCAATATATTTAAAATATATCTGAAATATATATTACAAATTTAGATTTAAAAAGGATCGAGTGTCAAAATTTAGGTACACATATATGACACAATTTAATTATGAAAAACTATATTATTAAACATATATGACAAAATTTAATTATTAAAAAATAGTGTACAAATATATTCACAAATATTTTTAAAATATCATATAAAATATATTTAAAATATATTACAAAATAGTACTATATTCAGAAATTTTTTTCAACAATCATATAAAATATATTTAAAATATATTACAAAATAGATTTATTAATTTCAATATATTTTTTACTCAATACGAATTGCTTAATTCTCATTTGTGCACAATATATTAATTACATGAAAAAAGTATTTCAAACTAAATTTGGGAAGGAAGGTAGATATATTATCCATATATATTAACAACAAATTTTATCCAAAATATATTAAAATTATATTACAAATATATTACAAAATATGGTTTACTAAGAAATATATTACAAAGATATTAAAAATATATTAACATATATATGACAATTTTTGATTTCAAAAGTAAAGAGTGTGCAAATTGCATTAAACATATATGACAAAATTTAATTATTAAACAATATAGTACAAATATATTCAAAAATATTTTTAAAGTATCATATAAAATATATTCAAAATATATTACACAATAGATTTATTAATTTCAATATATTTTTTACTCAATACGAATTGCTCAATTCTCATTTCTGAACAATATATTAATTACATAAAAAACATTGTACAATTATCTTAAACAAAATTTCGTAAAAAATATGTTCAACAATATATGTCAGTAAAATTTTTAGTAAACATATATTAATTTAATAAATTATTAGAAAATATATTAACAATATATTCACAAATCTAATAAAAAATAAATTTCAAAATATATTACCAATATACCTAAATTCATGATGCACAATACTTTTACAAACAACGTAGTTAGTTCATGGAATAAAATATAAACTTGCGTTAGTCTTTGTATGTGTTCATGTTGATTCATGTAAATTTAATTGCAATTTAAAGCGTACCATGGCGTCGTTCACCTCTACTGCAACTTCCAGTACATGGCCACGACGAATGTGTGCCTATGGACATGGCCCCTGTATTGTTAAGATTTCCAGGTCCACCAAAAATCCAGGGCGTCCCTACTTTGTCTGTCCCCGCCCTGTGGTGAGTGACCCAATCTTTACCGATCATAACTGTATGAACATTAACAACCCATGAAACTAATAGTTCCATAATTTCCACTCATCAGCCCTGTGTCAGTTGGATTGGTTGGTGTGAAGAACATATGTTCATGTGCATAATCATAATGTCTTAAATTCAATATGTTCATGTGCATAATCATAATGTCTTAAATTCAATATGTTCATGTGCATAATCATAATGTCTTAAATTCAATATGTTCATGTGCATAATCATAATGTCTTAAATTCAATATGTTCATGTGCATAATCATAATGTCTTAAATTCAATATGTTCATGTGCATAATCATAATGTCTTAAATTCAATATGTTCATGTGCATAATCATAATGTCTTAAATTCAATATGTTCATGTGCATAATCATAATGTCTTAAATTCAATATGTTCATGTGCATAATCATAATGTCTTAAATTCAATATGTTCATGTGCATAATCATAATGTCTTAAATTCAATATGTTCATGTGCATAATCATAATGTCTTAAATTCAATATGTTCATGTGCATAATCATAATGTCTTAAATTCAATATGTTCATGTGCATAATCATAATGTCTTAAATTCAATATGTTCATGTGCATAATCATAATGTCTTAAATTCAATATGTTCATGTGCATAATCATAATGTCTTAAATTCAATATGTTCATGTGCATAATCATAATGTCTTAAATTCAATATGTTCATGTGCATAATCATAATGTCTTAAATTCAATATGTTCATGTGCATAATCATAATGTCTTAAATTCAATATGTTCATGTGCATAATCATAATGTCTTAAATTCAATATGTTCATGTGCATAATCATAATGTCTTAAATTCAATATGTTCATGTGCATAATCATAATGTCTTAAATTCAATATGTTCATGTGCATAATCATAATGTCTTAAATTCAATATGTTCATGTGCATAATCATAATGTCTTAAATTCAATATGTTCATGTGCATAATCATAATGTCTTAAATTCAATATGTTCATGTGCATAATCATAATGTCTTAAATTCAATATGTTCATGTGCATAATCATAATGTCTTAAATTCAATATGTTCATGTGCATAATCATAATGTCTTAAATTCAATATGTTCATGTGCATAATCATAATGTCTTAAATTCAATATGTTCATGTGCATAATCATAATGTCTTAAATTCAATATGTTCATGTGCATAATCATAATGTCTTAAATTCAATATGTTCATGTGCATAATCATAATGTCTTAAATTCAATATGTTCATGTGCATAATCATAATGTCTTAAATTCAATATGTTCATGTGCATAATCATAATGTCTTAAATTCAATATGTTCATGTGCATAATCATAATGTCTTAAATTCAATATGTTCATGTGCATAATCATAATGTCTTAAATTCAATATGTTCATGTGCATAATCATAATGTCTTAAATTCAATATGTTCATGTGCATAATCATAATGTCTTAAATTCAATATGTTCATGTGCATAATCATAATGTCTTAAATTCAATATGTTCATGTGCATAATCATAATGTCTTAAATTCAATATGTTCATGTGCATAATCATAATGTCTTAAATTCAATATGTTCATGTGCATAATCATAATGTCTTAAATTCAATATGTTCATGTGCATAATCATAATGTCTTAAATTCAATATGTTCATGTGCATAATCATAATGTCTTAAATTCAATATGTTCATGTGCATAATCATAATGTCTTAAATTCAATATGTTCATGTGCATAATCATAATGTCTTAAATTCAATATGTTCATGTGCATAATCATAATGTCTTAAATTCAATATGTTCATGTGCATAATCATAATGTCTTAAATTCAATATGTTCATGTGCATAATCATAATGTCTTAAATTCAATATGTTCATGTGCATAATCATAATGTCTTAAATTCAATATGTTCATGTGCATAATCATAATGT